TGCTGAACCCGGGCAGTCCAGCTGCGCACGTGGGAGGCTTCCGGGGCTCCGCCGCCCGGAGAACCCCTTAGGTGACTCCCGTGCCCTGCCAGACCTCGACCAGGCGCAGGAAGCATCTAAAACTTGCCCAAGGGATGAATGCATAGTGGCCCGGGAGGCTTTAAATCTGTAGAGTAACGGAATGTTTACGAGCCCGCAGTACGCAGGACACCTAGGATGAGAGACAGTTTCGGCTCTGCGATCTACCTGGCTGCCCCACGATCCCCAGACCAACAGGTCTTGATGTTTTGAAAGCAGGTGATGCAGGTTAGAGGCCTGGTCTCTTTCTTTCCAGGAGGATGCAAATAGCAGAGGGGCTCAGCTCAGGCCATTTGAATCAACAATCCATCCACCCATTTATACATTCATTAAACAAATGGTTATTGAGCGTCTATATGTACTAGGCACTGTGCTGGGTGCTTGGTATGTAGCAGTGAACAAAACAGACAAAAATCTCTGCCTTCTTGGCATTACAGCATTTTAATAACTACGCTGTTGCCCAGCTAACACTTCTATTAGAAATGTTCTACCATGGGATAATTAAACAGATAAAATGTGGTTTAAAAAGAAACTTTAATAAGAGGAAATCATCAGGATATAATGTGAAATTTTAAAAAGCATTCTAGAAAGTTGTATATGTAGTTAAATTCCACTTATGTTAACATATATGTTGGGAATTCCCTGGCGGTCCAGTAGGACTCTGAGCTTTCACTGCCCCAGCCCGGGTTCCAACCCAGGTCGGGGGATTAAGATCCTGCAAGCCGCGCGTCATAGCCAAAAACAAACAAAAAACCCCAACAAAAACAAAACCAAAACCAGAAACACTTACGTGCATAGAAAAAAGGACAGGGAGTAAATAACTCTTAAATATTAGTAGTGGTGTGGCAGGTTGTATTTTCCAAGATGGTTACAACAAGGTCCCCCACCCCCTAGGCTCTTCATACAATGTGACCTGGATTCTCCCAGTGAGAGGTGTAGTCCCAAGTTCCCTCTCCTTACAGCCATGGCTGTGGATGCTTCTGCCTGATTCTCCTGGGATGCTCATGTCTGGAACCCAGATGCCATGCTGTGAAGAAGTACATGGAAAAGCCATGCGTAGGTGATATGGCTAAAGCCCCAGCTGAGGTCCCAGTTTATGGGCAACACAAGTCACCAGACATATGAGTGAGAAAGGTCCAGCCACCTTCTGACTGCAACCACATGATCCCAAATGGAAATAGCCCAGCTTAGCCTAGCCAACCCCCAGAATCAGGAGATAATAACGATGGCTGTTGTTTAAAGCAATTTGGGGGCAATTTGTTAAACAGAAATAGATATCCAGAAAAAAGTGTTTTATCTAGATTGTGGGATTATGAGTATTAACAATATTTTTAAAAATATTTTTCAAGATTTCTACAATGACCACTTTTTTGTAATAATCAGTAAAAAAATTTTCTTATAGTCACTAAAAAGATGATTAAAAATAAAAGCACAGTCTAATTTTTTTTTTTTTTTTTTCACTTCACCAAGGGAGAAATTAAGCCAGAATTTGAATTGAGGGACTTAAACCAGACTTGGAGACTTGGACTTAAGACTTGGACTTAAACCGGACTTGCCTGCACGATTGATTACATGCTGGTAAGTATTAGTAAGATTAAGTTTAAATTGGTATGATGGAGAGAGTGGTAGATTTGGAATAAGAAAACTTGGAAATGAATCTCAGTTTTCTGGGTGACCTTGAGCAAGCCCTTGCTCAAATTCAGCTTTCTATTTTGAAAAATGCAGCTGGCTGCTTAAGGAAGATAACATCCACCAGGGAGCCTGGCCCAGAAAAGGCGCTCTGAAGTGGCAGGTGATCTTGTCTAATCCAAGCCAATTATAAGCGGGCATCTGCAAGCTCTGTGGAGGGCTTATCCTTCACTGCCACCAGATGCTACAGTCCCGATAATGAAAATTGCCTGGAGAAGAACCACAACTCCTAAAAAGAAAAGAAAAAAAAATCCAGAAACACCAAAAGCCGCTTTTCCAGCGGTCCTTGCCCACGACGCCCCACCAAGGCTGGAGACTCTAGTTCTAACCCCTTCAAATGACTCCATCACGTGCGGAGGCCCAAAGAGCCCCGGGATACAGAGGGAGGAGGACCGGGAAGCCCAGCCTGGCCGGAGGCGGCGGCCTCGCGTTGCTGGGCAGGTGTCCTGGCAACCCCAGAACGCGCCGCCGCTGGAGGAGCAGGTGGCGGCGGCGTCCCTCTTGCTCTTGGCTCTTGGTTCCTCGGCCTAGCGTTCGACAGTTCGGCTGCCGGTTGGGGTTGGTGCGTTGATGTCGGCTGCATCTTCCTTGGAGGTCTCTGAGCGTAGAGCCAGGCCTCCCCTGGGGGAAGGGGTGAAAGGCCCATCTCGGTGGGCGGGGCGAGAGCCCAGGGGAGCTCGGCGGGCATCCAAACCGGGAAACGCCCAATCAGGGGGAAGGAGGGAAGCTCTTATTAAGAGGCCAACCCTGCCCGCCTGACTTTCAATGGCCCGTGGAGTTTCTGTTTGTTTTGACTGATGCCTTTCTTACAAAGGTCTTTTCGTTGTCTCCAGGTTGCTTTTAATATTTAAAACCGACACATGCATAGCTGCGTCCATGGACACTGGAAACTGTCCGTGGGGCTGTCAACTCCCCCCCATCTACACAGCGATCTGCAGCAGTGAGCTGGAGAAGGTTCAAGAGAAAGGAGACTCTGGCATGACCACAGGAGAGCGGAGATACAGTTGAGTTTAAGAAATCAGGAGCGCTGGGTGGGATTTGGTTGCCCTATCCAAGTACGCTAGAGTGAGAAGACATTTTTTTTTTTTTTTGGGGTCCGGGGGCCTCTCACTGTTGTGGCCTCTCCCGTTGCGGAGCACAGGCTCCGGACGCGCAGGCTCAGCGGCCATGGCTCACGGGCCCAGCTGCTCCGCGGCATGTGGGATCTTCCCGGACCGCGGCACGAACCCGTGTCCCCTGCATCGGCAGGCAGACTCTCAACCACTGCGCCACCAGGGAAGCCCGAGAAGGCATTTTTAAAAAATTAATTAATTTATTTTACTTATTGATTTTTGGCTGCGTTGGGTCTTCGTTGCTGCGTGGGCTTTCTCTAGCTGCGGTGAGCCGGGCCTCCTCTTCACTGCAGTGCGCGGGCTTCTCATTGCGGTGGCTTCTCTTGTTGCGGAGCACAGGCTCTAGGCCCGCTGGCTTCAGTAGTTGTGGCACACAGGCTTAGTCACTCTGCGGCATGTGAGATCTTCCCGGACCAGGGCTTGAACCCATGTCCCCTGCATTGGCAGGTGGATTCTTTTTTTTTTTTTTTTTTGCCGTCCGCGGGCCTCTCACCGCTGTGGCCTCTCCCGTTGCGGGGCACAGGCTCCGGACGTGCAGGCTCAGAGGCCATGGCTCACAGGCCCAGCCGCTCCGCGGCATGTGGGATCTTCCCGGACCGGGGTACGAACCCGTGTCCCCTGCATCGGCAGGCGGACTCTCAACCACTGCGCCACCAGGGAAGCCCCTTAACCAATTTATTTTGCTTATATTTTCCTTCTTTAAATATGCACACGAGTGATATGTGATTATATCTAAGTAAGTCTGAAATGGTGCTTCAATACGTATTAAGTAAAAGTCCTAAATGATAAAGCACGTGTCATAATTTAATTGGCAGCCTCTGTTCTTTGTGGTACGTAGAATAGTAATATTATTACAATGTCTTACATTCAGTAAAATACAGTTTATGCATTTAAAGTTCTAGGTTCTAATTACTGCTTTAGTTGAATCCCACAGTTTTAGTACCGGTTTTTTGTTGTTGTTGTTTTTGTTGTTGTTTGTTTGCGGTACGCGGGCCTCTCACTGTTGTGGCCTCTCCCGTTGCGGAGCAACAGGCTCCGGACGCGCAGGCTCAGCGGCCATGGCTCACGGGCACAGCCGCTCCGCTGCATGTGGGGTCTTCCTGGACCGGGGCTCGAACCCGTGTCCCCTGCATCGGCAGGTGGACTCTCAACTACTGCGCCACCAGGGAAGCCCGAATCCCACAGTTTTGGTATATTGTACATATGTCGTTGATCATTAAGTACCTCATGAGTTCCGTTATGTTTTCTTCTATCATATGAAATATTTAGAGGTGTGGTTTGAGTTTCCAAGCTTATGGATGTTTTTTGGCTGTCTTTTTATTATGGATTTCTAATAGTATTGCATTGTGGTCAGAGAGTGTGGTCTGTGTTGTATTCGTTGACACCACATTTGTGGTTCCGTGTCCGGGGCTGCTGCGGACCTGTGCTCTCTCTTCACAGCTTTGCCCTCCACTGGGCTCCACTGCATCCCAGCTACTCACCCCTCAAGCAACCAGTTGGCCCTCATGTACTGAGGGCTGCTCTAGGCTCTGTGCCATGTTCCAGGGCAGCTCTTACCACACTTGGCTGGCTCTGAGAATCACCTGAGGTGCTTCTTTTTATTTTTTTAAATATTTATTTATTTACTTGGTTGCACCGGGTCTTGGTTGGGCCACGCAGGCTCCTTAGTTGTGGCATGTGAACTCTTAGTTGCGGGACGCATGTGGGATCTAGTTCCCTGACCAGGGATTGAACCTGGACCCGCTGCATTGGGAGCGCAGAGTCTTATCCACTGTGCCACCAGGGAAGTCCCCTGAGGTGCTTCTTAAACATACTGATTCTCGGGTTGTCCCCTGTAGGTCTGGGTCAGAGCCCTGGAATCTGCAGGTTGAACAAGTGCCTCAAGGTGATTTTCATGACTGGACACATATAGGGAGTCAGGAAGAGGGACAGGATAGAATGCAGGGCAGTGATGGAACTGGGCTTGAAGAGGAGGAAGTTCACTGCCAAGCATGAGCCTAAGAGGTAGAGGGAGACTTATTAAAAATGTGGGTTCCCAGGCTTCACCACGCGAGATTCCAGTTTGATGGGTCTGTAATGGGATTTGGGAATCTGTCTTTTTAAATTATTTATTATATTTTTTGTTATTTTGTTTTTGTTTTTATCTTCCTTCCCCCACCCGCGTCTTTTTTTTTTTTTTTTTTTTTTTTTTATTTTTTT